ACACTGTACTGTATCTACAGAGTCTAATCTACACTGTACTGTATCTGCAGTGCCTGATCTGCAGTGCCTAAAGAGAAGAAAGGAAACCACGTTTCGGCTGTGGAACCTTCTTGGGGGTGTCGTTAATGACTGGCCGGGTGAGCCGAGATACCCTCCCCCCCCCCAGCCGGGCAGCAGGGAAAATAGGTAGTTTGGCACCGGGTCCGACCAGCCAGGCGCTCCGCCAGCACTCAGCACGACGAGCCTACCGGCGACTGGGTCCAGTGCCAAGCTCCCGAGGAAAGGAGGCAAAAAAGGGGACAAATAAAAAATTGGGAGAGCCGCTCGGGTCCGAAACCCCGCTCAGCCCCGGTAGACACCGGACCGCAGGGGGATCTGACCTCAGTGGCCGGGCAGGGAACTGCTGTGGGCGGCCTGGACGGAGGGAATCGGAAATCCTGGCGCCGGCTAGACCGGGCCGACAGAGACATATTTGGCCCTCGCTTGAAAACCCGACCCCCGGCTTCCCCTCTCCATCCACTCCCAGAGTCCTCCTTCGGTGAATGCCACACGCTGCGGTATGAAAAGGGGGTTGCTTGCATCCCGGTCAGAACCTGTTCATTACTGACCGAGCCATCTAAAAGACATCTCGCTCGACCCACAGCTGGTTTCCAGCTGGTCAGCGCTTCTGCGGAGGACGGGACGACCGTCGTTTCGGAGCCGGGACAGGTGAAAGGCATGGACAACAGCAAGTGGTCGGACTTGGAGGGGCTCTTGCGCTGTGCAAATCCAGCCCCAGCAAGCACTTACCCTGATCGATAAAGGACAATCACCCTTTTTTTATGAACGTCGGTATCACTATAGAATCTTGACTTGTTAAGAGTGTGTACTTAGTGTAAGAGGTTTATTGTGAATTCAAGTTTACCTCGATCCACTGTAGGAACTAAACTTACAAGAAACAGCCCCGCCTTGTTCCCCCTTTTAAAGAAAGTGCGTCCCCTGTCTCCGAGCTGAACTGCCAACAGGTGAAACGTTTCTCATGGGGAAGCGGCGCCTTTTTGTTAATACGCGTCGCAATGCTGACACCCAGTGGCTTCGCGAGAAACTGCAACGTCGCATCTTCGGATCTGATCAAGGAGCTGTCCCACGACGGAGCTCCGACAGTAATAATGCAGCCCAGACTCCGAAAACCCACACAAATCTTTTATTTTGACAGCATCTCCGGACACGGTGTTGGTTTGTTGACGATGAACAAGCGGCACACGACGAGGGCAGGACCCGACGGAGATGGGACCTGGGGCCCGGGTCTCTCCAGCCTCTCTCCTCGGGGGGGTGTCGAACTCCTCCAGCCGGCCGGGATCAAGGAATCACCGCGGGTGGTGGAGAGTTTCCCTTCACATCAGGCTCATGGCTTGGTGAATTTCTCCTCCAGTAAATACACCCTCCCCCCATCCAGCAAAAGCTACTCTCGGTTACATAAGCAGCGTGTAGTTTTATTACAGACAGGTAAAGGAAACAATACTACAGTGACAGTAGGATGCCATGCCATAGCGAGGCACTGTGGGTCAAAACTGAAACTAGTCTTTCATGAAACATGTCAACAAATGCACGGTGCTGCAGTCCACACTATTCTGCACAGCGGTGCTGGGGGGCTCTTGTTCAACGGTAGCCAGGCCATTCTCGTAGCTCTCTGCTTTGGCACAGAATGATTGCTGAAAAGCTTCCGTGGAGGAGTGAAGTACTCTACTCTACGTCGCCTGGTACCGGCATTCGCGTGTAACAAACAGGGAAAGCATCGTCCCCTCAGAGAGCCGCTTTGAGTAATGTCGTCTATCAAATAAATAATTACAGCACTGTATTTTGCCTGCTTCATATTTCCACATAGCCATCAGCAAACTGTGAGCACGTTCTGCTGCTGTGCAGTGGACAGCCTCCTACATAGATCCGGCGGTATATAGTGCCAGGGCGAAATTATAGCTTCTGAGCAAACACTACAGTAGCCTACTACAGTCTTTTACTCCGTGTCAGAAAGGAGAAAAGACAGAGCGCAGCCGAAGTCACTAGTCTGAAAAGCCAGGTACACACATCGCTCACAAGTTCGAGACAAGCTGCCTTGTTTTCATTTTAAAGGAAAAAGTAAAATGGGTGATACATATTCAGGGAAGAGACGGAGCATTTTGAAAAACACGCAGAACGACAGGGTGGAGTTCTAGAACGGCGCTGGGGGTGGGGGTTGGCAGAAGGTTCTAGAACGCCGGGGAACACCTGCAGGGACGAGAGAGACCGAGAGAGACGAGTCACCCTCCGGGCGGCAGGGCGAAGACTCAGGCGTCGTCACACATGACGTTTCTACCCAGCCAGAGATCACTGGCTCCTGTCGCCGACAAGAACAAAAAGGCAATACACCTGGATCACAACACCAAGCACAAAGTGGAGCAGGCACACACCCTGCAGCCTTAAAATTAATTGAGATTTGACCTAGCTCGGACTCCCGCTCAGGAGATAGATTTGTACTGTGAGGCACCGAATTGTCGAAGACTAGAGAAATTTCTCCCTTCACCCCCTTGTTGAATAATTTCCAGTTTCTCCCATCAGAACGCAGATACAGACTCATCAACTCTCCAGACCAATAGAATTACGTTCTCATGCATACCAGTAGTCATACTGTTACTTAACACTTGACTTTCATGCAAATATGCATGTATGTTGTGTATATTGTTGTTTTAGTCGTGTTCTTTTGTTTCTCTGTCCGTCTGTACAACAGCACTGCTGCAGTGAAGCAAATTGCCCCCTCAGGGATATTAAAGGCTCTCTCTTACTCTTTAAAGGGGAGTTTTAATACCTGATAGCTCAGTTTTAAACTTATACTGCTAGGTTTACGTTATAATTAGCAACACGGTGCCGTTTGTTGCTAATTAACAGTATGAGCTTGTATAGAGTTTATTTTTGCAACATTCATATTATATTAGTTCTACACGCTTCATCTTCAAGGTTGAGAGTGGGGAAAAAAAACTACATGCAAATTGTCAAGTTGGTTGTAGTTGCCTGGCCTGTCCTCAGAAAGACACTCACCTCAGCCAATAGTTAGCAGCCGAGCCCGCTGAGGGAGCCAATCCGGTCGAGTTTGAGGCCAAAGCAGCCTCGGGCCCACCCCTTCTTGGCCCGGTCGGAGAAAGCTCTCTTTCGATTGGCCAGCGTGTCCCTCAACAGGCGGTACCACGGGTGCTCACTTGTTGGGGGCAGGTCAGTCCATCCCGGGTACTCGGCGGCCTTCGAAGTGGTGTCCGCCGGTCGTAACCTCTCCCCGGGGTCGCCGGCGAGGCTCTCCAGTTCGTCTGCGGTCAGGAGATCCCTGTACTGTTCCAAAAACTCCCGCAGAAGCTGATGGGAAGGAACACGTGTTAAGGTCGTGAAAAACTATCGCCAGCTTTTTAACCGCTTCTTCCAGTGCAGGGTCGCGGGGGAGCTGGGATTTATCCCAACATAGAACTGGGCGCAAGGCAGGGTACACCCTGGACGGGACGCCAGTCCATCACAGGACACACACACACACACTCACACCAGGGCCAATTAATCTACCGGCATTGTCTTTGGACTGTGAGACGAAAACCACATAAACACAGGGGGTACATCCAAACCCCACAAAGACAGCCCCCCACGTCTGGCATTGAGCCCAGGGAACCGGGGCTGTAACGCACGCCTCCGCGCCACTGTGCTGTTACGACTATTCTTCATAATGACACCTCTATAATAGGTGACGTATAGAATAATATCACAGTGAGAAAACAATGCAGAAAACATATGAACAATGTGAGTTATTCCGCCGTGGAGTATGTGTACAGTACGGAAACTGGGAGAAACCCGATCTATTCTTTGATCGATAATTTACTAAAAGCCGCATGAGGTAGAATGAAATTATGTCTTTGGTTTTGATATCCGTTTCGCTCCGATGCTACGTTCAGAGCAGTTCTGGCAGACGTCGGTCCCTGTATAATTAATATTCACCAGTCAGTCTGCCTGGGTTATCATTCCGTATCATTCAGATTCATTGCGCTTTTGACGGACTCATTTCACGCGCCCTGGCACGGTAGTTCATTGTAAATGACTGTGCCAGAGGGCACTGCATTCATGAACAAACTACACTACAGTGATGCTGGTTGAAACTGCGTCTTAGTGTCTGCAGTTTTCCTGCAGGCTTGAAAAAAACCGCGGGGCATAAACACTCCAGAAGACGATCAGGTATGCAGCCGCGCGTAAAACGGTCGCGCCCCGAAAATACCTCCTGTACGCACCCCGCTTCCGCTGAAACGCCACGGGCATGATATCCCGGGCAGTTCTGACAAACCGTCCAAAACATCCAAAGTTACAAATCCCTAAACCCCGTTTGCAGCGTGTACCCACAACTTCTGCGTCGACAAGACGTTGAAGTCCTTCACTGAACCAATTAGTCCACCCGATCAATGGGCATCGTTTTCGGTTTTATGGGGGGGGGGGGGGAGGACTCCATCAGATAGAAGAGGCGCAGGAGTGCCGTATTAACCCCACCCCGACATCACCCCCTCATTACCCCCTTCCCGTGCGCGCAGTGTCCGCCGTCACGCCTCCGCCGCCCGCGGTAGCGGTACCTGCATCGCGGGCGCTGTCTTGAGAGCGCGGCTCTCCGTCGGGACCAGCGAGAGGCACGCCAGCAGCACGCCGAGGAGCAGGTACCGCGGGCGGGGGAGGGACAGCCGGGGTGTCCGAGCGGTCATCTTCAGCGCTGGAGACGGCTGCTGCGGCTGCTACACCTGCAATGACTGCGGTAATAATAATAATAATAATAATAATAGATCAAGAGGAGAAAAGAGGACAGTCTGAAAGCTCCGCAGACGGATGGCAGGAAATAAAGGAGTGAGGAGACGAGAGAGAGAAGACCTTGCAGGTAGTCTAGAGTGGTTGAGTTAGACTCGTCTGCTCCTCTGCCTCTGCACTGAGCCAGCCAGAAGGATGAGTGGTGGGACAGGACAGGTAGGGCGAAACACTGGAGCCCAAGTTGGCTGAACTCACCTCTGTCGCTTGCTTTTTGGGTCCCGGGGCTGCTGTCCAGTCTCCTCGCGGGCTGTCGGGCTCACAAGCTGCTTTCCATGGCCGACACCTGTCAGGTTGTGACACCAGCCCTGCTGCTCCCTGGCTCACTGCAGCACTGGATGCTGTTTGAACCCCTCGCTCTTTCCTGGTCTCTCTCTCGGCGCTCATGTACTGTAGCCTCCAGCAGTCGCTGGCATATGTAACCCCCCCCACTCCCTGTACAGGAGAGTTTATCTTGTCACTCAGGTGATGTCATCCCTGTTTAAACAGCGGCGTCGCCACGGCAACCGGACACCCCATTCTCGTGCGCACAGCTGTCACTGCAGCGGGTGCGCCCAGAAACATGAGGTCACTGCCGCAGGTCGGAGGTCAGCGGCGCTTTCCAAGAAAGACACAAAACAAGCAGGAGGAGAGAGATTCCGAATGAAAAAAAAAAGCCACTTGTCTCGGCGTGCTGGATTGTGTCATTGGTTTATTATGTCTAAATGTACTCTCCCATAAGAGTCCGCATTTCAGTGTGGATTAACCCCTCTCCCTCC